TCGGGTTACAAACGCTTCTGTTTGCGACCAAATCAGGTGACGGCCAGAATTTTCAGAACAGTTTTGCTTCTGGTCACGAACAGATCTTCAGGTGGCGACCAAGCAAACCTCAAAATCGCCATGGTGATTTTCCCTACCGCGGCAATTTCTCTTTCAGCATCATTTTTTTTTGTCTGCGCATGCGCAGACAGTCGGGCTTCCGGTCATGACCAAATTGAGTTGTGACTGTAGTCCTGGAACGGATTACGGTTGTGACCCGAGGTTCCATTGTATGTATGTTCTATGCATTTTTTGTGTTAGAAAGAAAAAATAGGTAACATTAAAAATAAGCAACAATTAAGGCTCCTGTGTAGTTTTAGGCTTTTCAGTATCTGACCTCAGCATACTTTTCACTGCGTTCACGGATTAATTCGTTTTCCTGTTGCAGGTCCTGTTGTTCTTCCTGAAGAGCTTTGATTCGATCTGTGGCTGCTGATAGCTGGCCAATGGTAGAAGGAGAGTGATTAAAAAATGAAACATTTCCCCAAATGAAACATTCATATATTATCCCTCTGCTCATAAAAAATCTGCTAGTCAGCAGTGCCTCAAATGAATATCTGACAAGACTGCATTTCAATATTTAACTGAGTAATTATGTTCCTGTTTCAAAATAGGAACTAATTACTATTATGCTTTTTCATTAAAGCACTATTCCTTTCAGAGGGCAGCATGAACTTCCTCTGTTCTTAATAATCACTAAGATAGGTTTGGAGCTCGATGACCTAACTTTTTACACCCATAGTATTTGTTTTCTAAAAATCCTGATGGACCTATAACTTGTTATAAAAGTAGCTTCCCACGTTCCTATAACTAAAAGTTACGATCAATCTATAAGTTACTTTCTTTATTTGTATCCTGTCTTTATTCTCTAGGTTTTTTTCAGATACATGTCTGAACTATTTAATTTAAAAAGTAACTGAAAATATGTCACAGTGACCACAAACCTCTTCCTGGAGCTTGGAATTTGTTTTCTCTAAGCACTCTATCTTGCTCTGAAGATCTCCAACAGTGCAACTATAATGAAAAAGTAGCTGTATAATAATATAGAAAAATATGTTTCTCAAAACAATTAAGAGTCCCCAAACTAATAAAATGGTCTAATCCAAGGCAAAACTTGGGGTTTTAACTAGAGATAAGGAGGACATAAGGTCTAGAGATACTAAAACTTAGAATAGTAAGGAAAAGAGCAAGCTTTTCTAAGTCGATACAACATCCTTTATGCAAGAATTGTGGTCTTCATATGAGGGTGGGGGGAATAAAGTATTAACCAACAAACTATACCTTAAATGTCGATTAAGTTCTTCAACATAATGTTTCTGGTCAAGCACAGCAGTCATTCCTTCATCTCTGATATTAAAAGAAAGATCATTGTCTTTTCAAAACAGCTAACTTTTCAAGTACTATGTTTATATTTAGAATGGTTGTTGTATAAGAAGATATATAATCATTGTACATGCTACAAGTACAAATCCTGAAAACCATAATCAATAGGTATAATAATTTATTTTTATCCCACCTTTATTATTTTTATAAACAATTCAAGGCATTGAACATACCTAACAGTCATTCCTCCACTTATTTTCTTCATAACAACAATACTGTGAGGTGAATTGGGCTGAATGACTGGCTCAAAGTTACCCAACTGACTTTCATGCCTAAGGCATTAATTGCCAAATTTACAGCGTTTTATAGTTTTCTCCTTTTTAATTTGCCTATTTCTATTCTGGTTTCAATTTTTCTCTTTCTAAGGTAATTAGGAAAGTTTAGACTTAGCTCATTTCTGATACAGTTTTCCGCTGTACAATTTTGAAAAGCAGAAGCTTAACTATACATACCCTTTGTCGTTATCAATGCACTGTGTATCCTTAAGGTACAGAGAAAAATCAATCACTGCTACCTGACAAGAAAGATAAATTTCATTACATTATAGTGTCTCTAATACAATTCACTGTGATGTACTTTTCATACCCTTTTCACATTCAAGGGAATTAAATGCAAAGGGATTCAAGCCATTAACATAGTCCATTGATTGTCATTTCCCAAGATGAACTCAAATACTTGTTTTCTTGATATAGTACTTTGACAGCACTAGTGTCCAGTGCAAAGAGCCATGCAAATAGAGAGGCTGGTAACAACCATAGAGCACACCAGCTAAACAAAACTGTTCCAAAAAAAAGAAAACATGACATGACCAATGACACTCACTACAACCAAGCAAGAAAAAGGATCAATAAATTGCATACATGAACTCTGTAGGAGGAAGGGGATGAGCACAAGATCCAAAAAGTGGCCACCCAATTTGCATAGATTCAAATTATTTCTATTTTATTATTTGTGGTTTTATGTTGGGACAGAACTTCTGTAAATAAGCCAGCTGTAAATGCAGTTATTACATTTTCAGAAACATCTAAAACAATATGAATTCAGCCTGATTACCCCTGGTTCAGGCCTACAGTTGCCACTTGGGACTTAGTTTAAAGGAGATTATTTTCACCTGGGAATCCAAGTCTTCGCCTTTTAAACATAGATTTGCATCAATGACATTTAGTCCCACTAAAAGGCCCACAATCACAGCTCCTTCTTCTTCCATCATCAAGGCATCAGGCTCGTAATATTCACTAGGAAAGGAAAATATAATGATTTAGAAAGGAATATTTTACTGATCATCACAGTAAAATTCAAAAAGTTTTTTCCCCTAAACTAAATGTCTCTTATCCCAATTAATATTCTGAATATAAACATTGGGCTGGATTTAGCCCAAATGGAAGAGTTTCTTCTTTTTCCAGGGGTTTCAGTTGCAATAACACGTTTCTGCCTGCAGAAGAGTTACAGGAAGAAGGAATAACTTGTTCCTATTTTTCACTGGCAGGAGCAATCCTGACTCCTTGATCTAATTTAACTCCTTCTCTTTCTGCACAGTAATAAATTTTCCTCCTGAAGAAAAATCCAAAATACCTCAAGAGACACTTGTGATCCAAGAGCACTTTCAAGTAGTCTGCCAGTTTCTTTTGCATCACTGCAAGATAAAGCCAAGCTCTGCCTCTTCCGATTGGAGTCCTATAACCCCACAGGAAAATCACTGATTAAATATGTCAAATTGCTCAGCATAGAAAAGGAATGAGAAACAAAATATTGCCAGGTTAAATATGAAATATAATTGCTAAACATATCAACCATTTCTCACAGAAGATAATCTGTCAGAAGAACTTAAAATACTTAAAGTCTGTCCATTTTTAACTTAATGCTTTTTCTTTAGGTTGAATAATTATGCCACTCTATCATTAATATTAATACTTCACACAGATGATTTTTGAAAGACAATAAACAAAAGGTTAGTAGTTTTACTCTAAATAAAAATATTCTGAATTACAATTCTTATGAAAACAAACTGTTTTTAACTGGTGATCAGCAAAGACCATCTGATTATTACTACTAGCAGTATTAAAAAGATAAAATGCATGCATTATTTTAAACAATCCCAATTAAAGTATTATATGTGTCTACTCACTTTAATTCTGGCAGATTTCTGACACTTGTTGCCAAATCTGATGCCTCTGGACAAAGTTTCTCCACTAATTCTAAAGGCCCAAAAAATGATTTGTTCTGCCCAATAAAACTCTTCTTAGCTAGATAAAGGTAGAATGGAAGGAAAAACATATTATTCTACTTCAGTTCATATAATGCAGATATCTACAGATGTAACTTAATTGGACTGTGCTTTTAGACAAACAGTAAAAAAAGTCTGTGATATATTCTGAGTGAATATATCAGACTTTCTATATTAAAGAAACTTAATATACAAAAAACATACTTGGAATGTCTATTTTCATATATACCTTAATATAACTTTTGTTTCCCTAATGCAGACATATTTGCATAGGTAAATATGTCAAGCTATGCATGTTTAAATGTTTTTTTTCTTTTTTCCATTGCTTCTATGCATTTTCTCATGGTTCAATTACAGAAATTAACTACACCATTCTAGGTAAGTTTTGTAAATATCTGGTGGCCATTTCAGTTGAATGGGGACAGCTAAATAAAATAGAGAGCCTGGTGTCCTTCAAATATTTTTAACCAATAAAAATAAAGTGAACAAATAAGAAAAATATGCTTTCAACCAAACATAAAATCAAATTTGAAGCAAACTCACCTTTAAGTCCATGCTTGAGACAATGTTCCAAAACAATAAAGAACTGTTGCAGAGGAGGGAAGTCAGAATCAAGAGTCCTCCCCAAACTCAAAGCTGACTGGATTAAGATTTTAATGCTCAATTTCATCATATTCACAAGATTGGAACGCTCTTCCATTGTGTGGGATCTGGCTGCTAAACACATATAGACAAGCAGAGGTGTATAAGAAAGCAAAGCCTTGTGATAGATCTGTAGGCTTATTCTGAAAATGTGAATCCACATAAATATGCCTTTTCCTATCATGCTAAAAAAACAACCCAGCACCTGGAATAGCATACATAAGGTATTCATAAAAAGGCCCAAAGTTTTTAGTTCCTGTTTATGCAGCAGAAATGCCCAACAAGAATGGGCTCTAAATCAATACGGTAAAACACACCCAGGTACATGTGTGCATACCTAAATGTGAACAGTAAGAACTATGTCATTACCATTGAGTTTTGGTATCTAGTGCAATAATCCTTAAAAGCACACAAATACACAGGTACTTTTGAGCTACTCTCCCCTGAAGGATGCTTGCAGTGCAACATTTTAGAATAGAATTCTTTTCATCCCATTTCATGTTCCCTACAGGAATGGCAATCATGGTTGCTTATAAACACAGACGGAAGAAATCTTTGTAAGTATGTTAGTACAAAAAACAGCCGTGGCTATAGAAAATAGTCAAGGTTACAGAAGAAACCCCCAGGATTCATCCTTGGCCTTATTCAGACGTTACAACGAGAAAGCAAGCGTTGCAATTTCCTCCGAAAATAGGGAAAAGAAGCAATTTGCCATAGCAAAGAAGGCAAAGTCATGGGCCTCCTCGTTGCATGGGTTTTCTCCGAGGTCCCACTTACAGACGTACAACGGGCTACACAGTCCTGAAAAGCTTCCCCGGCGGCGATTCCCTGTCTCCACCTCCCGGAGTGGATCACGCGTATGCTCCAGCCTTTCCACAGGCAAAACTGTCATTTCCTTCCTCCCACCTCCATTGGCTTCTCACCTGCACTTGCGTTACCTGAGCAACACTTCCCACCCCCTCCACGTTCA